GAGAGAGAGAGAGAGAGAGAGAGAGAGAGAGAGAGAGAGAGAGAGAGAATTATGCGCTGCTCGTTTTTCCTATCAAATGAATAATTCGTTATGTCAAAGATTCTTTTAACATGATCGTTCAAGGAAAAATCAAGGCAATATCTGCTGTCGATTATTTTAATAGTAACGATATTATTGAACTTAGCTCATATCAGCATTTTCAATACTATGATTTGAATTTGTGCATGCAATTCAATTTATTCGTCGCTCCATAAAAGCCTTCACTTGCATAAATGCAACGCTCATTTTACGGTATACCTTTTGGGGAGGTAAGAAATCTGCGGAATGCGAGCAAGCATTCGCGATAAAAGGTTTGGCCGACGAGTATGGAGGATGGAAACAATCTGTTGTATCTATTATTCATGACGGCCAACGTTCGATATGAAATTATAATCAACCACTCGTGCGTCAATCGGCCAAATTGGACCATAGTTCTTCTCAGATTCGCCGCGCAACGGCAGAAAATGAACGGAAGTGCCATTTATGAATCAGAAACAAAGGCAACGAACGATTTAATCGCGGGAAACAGAATAATAGACACTATTCTATTCTCAATTGATAAATATTCCGAAGACCGGTACTTCTTCTTCCACATATGTATATAAATGTGTCTTTTAAAAATTGCATTAAGTGCACTGATCACTATACTTCGTGTAATATAATTCTGCTGATCAAGTTTAAATAATACGTTATATAATTTGAAGCTTATACTTACATTTTTCAATTATTATGTACATAAATTAGCTATTTCTCATTTCACGACGTTAACAATTAAAAAGTAAAATTAAATTTATTTTATTGCCCTTGTACAGAAAATTCTGAATTTCGTTGCGAGACAGTATTTATAGCATTCTGTAATAATAGTACGATTGTTAATTTATCGTTCCCGCTTCTTTATATGCAGCGATAATAAACGCTCATATTAAAGAGCAAAGTTTGACTCTTGAAATGTACGCTAAAATTACAACTAAAATCTTACAGGGATCTTAAAACAACTGAAAGACCAAACTTCAAATGGAAAACGGAATCTATACGGAATTGAAAATATTAATAATTACTGACATTTGATATTTCATAATTTCGTACATTTCTCTCTCTCTCTCTCTCTCTCCCCTCTCTATACTCCGATGTATTTTTCACACTGATATCAAATGCAAGGCAAATAAAATCTGATTCGATAACGTATTGTAAAAATCACGTGAAGAATACACTTTGTTTCACTATGTAAAATTTTCTACGAGTGAGGAACGTCGTTCAATCACCGCGACTTATTTTATGAGTCTACTTGATTCTAATACGCGTCGCTCGCCAGTAATCAAAGTCCCCCGTTAGGACACTCATTAGGCCGGGATTAGTGACGATATCTCTTGCTGAGAGCGCGCCGAGTGTATTTATGCGACGCATTGCGTATGCGACCGCGGATTTAGCGACCGGCTGAGAAATTGCACGTAACGAGGAGAGTAATTATACTAATAATATATAACGGGTTACTAATCCGCACATACGGCTTATGCAATATTCTGCCCCGTTAATATACGACTTGCGCACAACGTGGTAATTATTTATTATATAATAGTCGTGGATAAAAATCAAGATAAAATATTATTTATAAATAACGTTAACATCAAAGATAACGTATGCGGCCAAGTGACAGCGTGGTAAATTTCATCCTCTGTCGCCTCGATTCCATATACATAGATAAATAGCGTAAAATTACCTGCTTCGATTAAAACGGGTACCGTCATCGCGTCCTCTCGTCTCGATATCTTCCACTGAACACGGGAATTAATTGTCTCAGGCCGATGGTTATTAATTATTCGCACAAAGCGCACGATATTCCTAAGATTGTATCCGTTTACGATTACGTCGTAAGACTTAAGTCGGCGCCGAAAGTCAACGCACAAAAAATTGCCGTATGTCGCCTCGCGATGCCATGAATGTGATGCGAGATACGCGATCTACGACACTTCTTTGTATCTTGACTCTCGACACCAACTTAAATCTTACGACTTTATCGAGAGACAATCTTTCTATTCACGCCCTAAAGCCTCGTCTACATAGAAGTCGTAGTCGTAAGAATAGTCGACTATGATTGGTCAATTCTTATGTGTCTGACGAAATTGACCAATCGCAGTCGATTATTCTTACGACTACGACTCTGCGACGCGTATTGTAGACCACGCATAAAGGCCTTCACACACAAAATTCCGTAAGGACGTAAAACGTAAGCGTAAGAAAATCGACCAATCACAGTCGAGAACGTAAGGCAATAACGCAAGCAGTAGCAAATCCAATCTGTTAATTTTCTTACGCTTACGTTTTACGTCCTTACGGAATTTTGTGTGTGAAGGCCTTATCACAGCACACAACCGCACGACACTCGCGACAGCGACCGGCCGTTACCGAGACAGAACGCGGACTGATAGCCGATTTACCCGTGAAAATCAACGGAGCAGGTAAGTACGGCGTATCTTTCATTCATTGTTCGTTCTTCAAAGTTTTTTTGATGTTTTTCAGACTCACGCTCGCGCGCCGCTCGGGGATGTTTACGCCGAGCCGCCGCGCGCCGAGGTCAGGGACACACGGTGCTTCGCATTATCGTTCGAGCCGCCGCGCCGGCAAGTACACGACGGAGTGAAGTGCGCGATCATTTTCCGCGTAATTAAGTGACGCCGCGGCCGCGCGATCGAGCCGATCGATTCTGTGGGTGCCGCGGAACGTCGTTTTCGTTCCTCGGAAGGGAGAAACTTTGTTACTTCGCTCGAGACACGAGAAGCGAACCGCCGAATTGCCGTCTACCGTTCGCGCTTGCTATTCCCGTGGCACAAATTGAGTTGCAGGACAGCCGCGAGAACATCGGTTGCTCGTCCAAGTGCGTGTTCGTCGCGTGGATTTGCGCGCTTCTGCCACATACATCGCGCGAGTGAAATCACCGATGTGATTTTCCGACGCGCCGTTGACTTACAATTAGTTCGCGCCGCCGCGGCCGCTGCTCGCCGAGGTTAGAAGACGCGAGTGAAGTACTATCGTTCGAACCTCCGATACGAGTGTCACGGGACGATGTGCGCGATCGCTCCCGGCGTAAGTGAACAATGCCACAGCCGTGTGATCGAGCTCTTTGACACCGCGAGTGCCGTGGGACGTCGTCCTCGTCTTTCCCGAAGAACTTGCCTCGCTCGAGATACCGAAAGTGACACTCGCCAAATCGTGCTCGCAACCCTTTCGACGATGCAAAGTGAATGAATTGTGAAGGGAGCCGCGAAGGTGTCGGTCGCGTCGTCAAAGTGCGCGTTATCCGAGCATACGCGTTTACTCAAGACGCATCGCGCCGCCAACTCGACTCGCGCAGTACCGCGCGCCGTTGTGACGCCGCGCAATGACCGCCGGGAACGCCGCCATGTTGATTGATTCGTAGGAGCCCGGTGGACACGCAGCGGATCGGTCTCGTGCGGTGGTCGACGCGTTTCACAATCATGCGGTGAGTTTTCCCATTGTCCGGTGCAACAATCACGCGACGTGGACTCGACGCGTCGGTAGTCCATCGAGACGCGTAAATGTGCGAAATCCCGGCCGAAATCTCAGGCGCGGTCGGCACCGCTGTTCCTGTGACCCGCCGTCGTGTATCCTCGCGTCCCACGAATACACCGAGCTCTCCAATTTTTCGTATCTCCTCGCGCGTGCACTGATATTCCGTGTTTTCCGCGCGTGATGCGCGGCGAGAGAGACGTTCGCGCGAAATCGCCCCGTCGAACGCACGCGTTCGGTTCCCCTTTTTCGCGACGCGCGTCAAGTTAACCTCGCACATCTCCGCGAGTCCTTCCCGCCGCGAAACGTTCCCGCCACCTCGCCAGACGCGGCGTCTCTCGTATTTCCGCGCACGGCTGTGTCTCGCGTTCTCGTTGCTGTGAGGTCCGAGTCGATTAACGCCGGGAGTGCCGTGTCTTCGGTAATTAGTGCGCGCGATCGTAATTGGCTCCTCTTTCGCGAGTGTCGCGTAGTGCCAGTGCCAAATGGAGGAGTCTGAGAGGAAGCGGCGGCCTGGGAGGCATCGGGCAACGGCGGAGCAACTCTATGGTGAGTACAAGTGTTTGTGCATTATTCTCGCGTTAACGTCATTTCGCGGATTTGTTTTACTCCGTCGCTCCGTTTACTCGACTCGCCCGTTCGAATGATTCGCGTGAGAACCCGCCGAACGATTTGCACGCACGCATTTTTACTCCTAATAAACTATATCAGACTTTCGTCCGGTCGCGAGTTGTAGAGGAAAGTCCCCTATTATGAGACAAGTCCCTAATATGAGATAGCAGGGTGTCTGTTAAATTAACAAGCATCTGTCTATTGGTTCCACCGTGATTTTATTGCTCTTGAGAGTGAAATCTGTTTAGTGGAAAATTCATTGTTAGATCGTGTAATCGTCGCGAAGAAAGATTTGCGATTGAATTTGAACGTTGAGAACCTGCTGTCTCACATTAAAAGCCTGTCTCAAAATAGGAGACTTTCCTCTATAACTCGCGAGTACTCGTGATAATACATCTCAGAATTACAGCAGGCGAGAGCGAGTCTCATTGCGAGCCCTCGGAAATATGCAAGTCAAAGGATAAATTTCGTCAATAAGCTCCGGTTGTTTTCTGTACGAGAGCTTTTTTACCGGCGGTTACGTGTTCAACGAGAACGCTTCGAAATTCCCCTTGTTTTTCGCGAATTCGTACGCAGTCCGAATTTTAAGATAGCGTGTTTATTTTAAATAATTAAAAAAATATTTTCTTTAATATCAATATTCTCGAATACTGTTCTAATGTGAATTTCATAATTTTCTGTTATAGAATCGCCGTAGTTAAACTCCGCTGCTGCGCATCGGATCGGTAAGTCGAAAACTTTTTTATCGAGGCAAAATTGCGAAATTTGATCGGATTGTATGGCCAAGCGTGACAAAAGATCCGATCTCTGGCCCTACGAAGGAATATAAGTGGTCCTTATTGACCACGATGGTGCAGTAATGTACAAGCACGCTAATGTACAAGACGGTTTATATGTATTTTTTAACCAAAAGTCGGGTGGGCTATTTTTCTGTATATTTTCTCGCGTATATGCGAGATTGGAAGGTTAAATCTCAATCGCTCGTGAGTTACAACCCCAAGTTAGATTCCTAATAAGTCGCGTCGCGGTTGTAATTGGAAATTTGTAAGCTTGTTAGATTGAAACACTGTAAGAAAATGCACAGGTAGGACTATAAATCGGAGTACGGGTCGGTAGAAAGACGGGTAGATAGGAATTCGCGCGGGTAGGCAGGGATACGGGAGGCATAATTTTATACTTTCATTGTAGACAAAATAATTATACAATAATTAAATGAGATAATATGAAATATAAATATATTTATTATTATTATATGAAATGTATTATCATGTATACACACATATAATAATAATAAATACAAATAATACGAATAATGCATCTCTTTGAATAACAGTTGCTTTATATTTTCGTAATTTAGGTATATTTTTTTATTAAGACGATTTAACTTTATAGTTATTCGATAGTTATTACATGGTTTATAGAATAAAAAAATATTTCAATGAATTTAGAACAGTGCATACAACAGAATTATACCAAATAATCGTATAATAGAATCAGTACATTTTTATTCGATTTTCTATAAACCTTCGAATACGATACAATGAACATGTTATATAGTATTTATACGAAGATAAAATGATCCGCGTCTGCAAAGATGTTAAAGATTAATATCTTTTTTACCATCATACAAAAACAACTGGTTACTTGTGCAAAATGATAAAGTAAAATGTTAAATATTATCTTACATGTCCTTTGCTGCATATCCAATACCAATCTGCCGAATCTTATAGCAATCATTAACTTTATAGCTAAAATAGGAAGAACACTCCTTTGCAACAAATGTGGTAGGATTACGTTTCAATTTGGCATATAGCACGACTGATTTTTGATGACTACAGAGATCTAACAACATAAAATTCTATTAAAATACTGAAGCTATTTGACATGCTAAGAATTAGCAACGCTACGTTTAATTGCATTAATTATTATTACCGTCATTACTTAATGGTGGGCTAAGGAATTTACAACCAGGTTGAGGACGAGTTCCGCCGTTTACGTAATAATCCGCGGTTCCCGTAGATTTTAGCGTGCCATATCCGCCCATGTCCGTGTGAATAACATCGACCCATGTTGCATCGTTACGCGTGAGGTAACATCCGGGAAAATAAAAAATAGAATTTGCAGGATCCAATGCTATAATAAATTTTACTTTGAGGAACGTCATAAAACAAATTCACTAATTACGTGCACCGCTGTATAAAACTATAAAATAAAATACTTTCTCAGCATAATTTTTGCCAATTTCTCGTTAACACGATAAATGAAGATACAGAGTAAACGCTAGATATAATCGTTACTAAAGAATCAATTATTCAGAGTAATGATAACTTTAAAAAAAATAAATCTCATGCATTTTAAAGATAATTTAATTATACATATACCTACCTGTGATACGAGATATCTTAAAGTCGTTGCATTTACCGACGAAACCAGCAATGTGAGCACCCAAGGAATGCGCGACGATATAAATTTTCGATACGTCCAGGCCATTATCCACAAGTAGTCGTATACTTTGTGCGAACAAATCTCCTACTTTTTCAGCATTTCTGAAAACGGTCGCGTAAGTGCCATTAGAGTATTTACTCCAATCAAGTAGCACTATGTTGTCCGTTCTTCTATAACAAAGCGCTAATGATACATATATTAATTCTCATTATTTCCATTTGACTTCTTAGGCACGTTGTACAATACGTCGTATGTCGCTGTGGGATGTCGGGACGTAGCCGATGGTCCAATGGGAAAATTTATTTTTTGAAAAGAAATTTGGAAAGACCATCGGCTACGTCCCGACATCCGACAGCGACATACAACGTATTATATAACAGGCCTTAATGATCTTACGTATAAACGCCATACCTTTCATCATTAACTGAACATTTGGGTCGTCCGCAAATTGCAAATATCCATAAATATAAAAGATTGTCCGCTTATTATCATCCAACGAATTTTGTAACAGCTCTGGCACTGTGATAGGATAAGCGATTGTGGCAGGAATTTCACTATTGCTGAGAAGCACGCACTCGTACTGATTATTATTGCTAATTATTATTTAGATATTTCGTTATGGATACAAACCATTTGTAATAGAGTAGTTTGACATTTGTCGCGAAATTCAAATCCGTTTGATTACCTGAACAATAGCACAATCACAATATTAATATTAGCTCTCAACGTTTGTAAAAATATGTGCAAATTACACACTTACGCTTACAAGAACACAACGATTGGCCGCGCATTATCCTTGTCACAAAAAATAATAGACCACACAGATATACTGTCAATAGCATTTTAAATTAAACAAACTTCTCACAACTGACGAAAATCACTTTTTAATCCAGGCCTTGCGACTGAAAGTCGCATGACGCCACATGCCATATTGTACAGAAACTCGATTTCAACGGAATATATATCCGTGCCACTTCCATGTCAACCTAGTTACGACATAAGCGAAATTATATTACTTCAAGCATAAGCGTAAACATGGATATTTCGTTCCGCATAAAGTCATGCTTTTTATCTCCATATACTTGTTAAAATTACAAAAACATACGTATACATATAAATATAAAAATTATAAATATAAGTACAAAGAATATAAATGTAGGTACAAATCAAAAGATTTTGTAAAGTGATAAAAAATTATATAGTTGATTCTTTTAACTACAATACTACTATAAGTAAAATGTGGTGTATTTTGGATATTTTGTAGGCTAAACGTAATAAATTTTTTGCAACAATTTACCAATAATTATACAGTCGATAGTAGTTATCAGAAAAATGATTCAGATAAGAATAAATATTAAGTGATATTTTCTCTGATTATAGTAAAAAAATCACGTGTTCACGTGAATATCTTACTCAAGTCAAATTGTACAAAATGTACGTGTAATGCACTTTTTAAAAAATTATTAATTTCATTAATTTAATAAATTATAATAACATGACTATTGCGGATACGTCAAAGATCATACATATAATTCTAAAAGCTATAAGCATCAGTATTACAATATCCGTAGAGAGACGTAAAATATATAAACTTAAGCACTTTGAATGATTTCGTGCCGCCGAAAATGTGTGTAATTTCATGATGATCGTGGCGCAGAGGGGCGTACGCTGCTGTAAATAATTGAAGATTCGAATTCGCATCTTACGAAAAATCGTTGGTTTTTATTTGGTCATCATATCTCGGGAGAAAGTGACGGCTTGCCGAAGAGTATCTTGCTACGAAACTCCCCACTCTCTTATACTATCCTTGCTCTATACTCTCTATAGTCCCCCTCTCTATACTCTATACTCTATAGTTCAAACCTTACTGTAATGTTTTATGGACTGTGTGTGTGAAGGCCTCTACGAGTCATTAGTCTATTAGGTCACAGTTGAGTGCGTATGTATTTTTCTGTACCAATATTTGTAAACGCATTTGTTTTTGCACGGTCAAAATGGAGCGAGATGTTTTAACCGAGTAAAGAACCAACATCAAAGTTCTCAAGAAACTCGGTAAAAGTGGGTGGGAAATTCTTGAAATGTTAGGAAGTGTGTTGAGGAGTCCTCTATGAAGCGTAGAACTGTATATAAATAGGTGGACCGATTTAGGAATGGGCGGAAGATCGTCTTAATGATATCATTAGATCATCATTGATTTTTTCAGAATTTTTCATGAATAAAGAAACAACAAGAAATTGAGATTAAATATCATATTGTAGGAAAGGTGTTAGGAGGAATAGGATGATTCCCTACCAAACCAATCCGATTAATAAATGCAGAATAGTATATTTAGCTCACAGATACAAAAATGCCGTGGCAACGTGAAGTCCGTCTTTTCTCGCTCGCTCTCTCCAACTCACTCCTGTCTCCGGGGGGATTTCCCCTAGACTCCCTCTCACACGCCTCCTGACGGTCACTCACTCTAGTGTCCGGCGCGTTGGCAGCGCTCCACCATACCGCGCGCGAAACACAAATCATACTATCGCGGAATATATTAAAAGCATTCAGCCTCTCATTCACTTCCTACAATATTTTTATTGATTACGATCACAATGATTAAGACAATTTAATATGAATAATCACGGTCCGTGATCTAACTCTCTAGTATCATTAAAAATAATAAAAATATTGATATTTATACTAAGGAAAACGATTTATTTTTAAAATTGTCAACAAAAATGTGCAAATTTATTGCAATATCATAACATATTGGCAACTTTTCCACCAAACCATTGAAAATTTATAAAATGCCACAGATTTCGTAAATTGTATTTTATCTATTCTATTATTTAACTATTTCTTCTTTGTTATCCAATTTCGGATCAATCTCTCCTTGTCTAATCTTAAAAAATACTAAGAAAAATTATTTAATTAAAACAATAAAGATAAGATTTTATTGACTTTAGGTACTTACATTTTTTTTAAATAATAGCTTTATATTTTTACATATAATTTAAGAAATATATTTTTGTATTAAAGTGTATATATATGTATATACATATATGTATACCTTAATAAAAATATAATTCTTGGCATTGTATAAATTTCCAATGGTTTGTTGGAAAAGTTGCCAATATGTTATGATATATAAATATATATATATTAAATATTTTCTAATAAGAAAAATAAGGAAAATAATCTGTTAAATTTGGGACATCACTATATACTACTATATACTGCACTCATATAAGTGAATTATATGACAGAATCAGTGCTTTATAACTACGTTTTCTATAAATCTTTAGTAATATATTGAATACGGTGAAATAACTTAACTATTTGTTATTTGTCATCAGGGTTATCAGGGTCATAAGAAACATAAACTTTTCCGCTTCTGCAAAAGAAATGTTATACGTGAATATTTTGTTACTACTATACTTCGTTATGAAAATAATTGTTAGTCCGATTATTTATGCTAAATAATTAAATAAAATGCTATATATCATCTTACATGTCGTTTGTAGCTGTATATCCAATACCGATCGTCTTAGTGCACTTACTGAAGGAATTATATTGCGCAGAAGAACATTGTGGTACAACAAATTTGGGACAACAACTGTAAACTTTTGATTCTGCATATAACTCGACAGATCTTTGATGACTACAGACACCTAGTAGCAACATAACAAAAACGTAATTAGAACAAAATATTTTTGAAGTAACTCTTGGTAATTTTACATTAAACACTTGATATTTATTTAAAAATAATTGTGTATATATAATTATTCAACATTCGCAAACTAGTAAAAATAACTATTTTTATTAAACTAGTCAAAAGACAATTTTTCAATTTTGAATTTAATTAGAATTCAAATTATTTTAATTCTATTAATAATTACTTTTAACATGTTAAGCGATACATATGAGTATTTAATAAATATTTAACGATAAATTATTTGCTGGAATTAAGTTATATTTCAAAGTTTAATGCAATATTTAGTTGCATAGATCATTATTTACCAATAGAGTTTAATGGTAGGTCATCAAGTTGGAGGCAACCAGGTTGAGGACGAGTTCCACGATTCACTATACAGGGTGTGTCCTAATACCCGTATGTCCC